TCCTGTCTTATGAAGGATTTTTACTTCTGCATCGAATCGTCAACGTAGAGCAGCCTGACGTGCACCTCCCCAAAAACTTAAATATATGTTGCGGCAACGCAGACCTCCTGTATATTTTTGTAAGTGGAAACAAAGCTTTTATTTACTTTAATTTCACAGATAAGAAACAATAAATCATGAAGACAATAAAGCCTCCACAAAATAGCATTTTAAGTCTTGTGTGTGATTTATCCTGGCTTCATATGAGCAGAGGAAATCTCTGCTTGTCGCTAGGCTACTTTATACAATGTAAAATGTCATAGGCTTGTGCTAATAACGTTAGCATGTTATATTTGTTTGGAAAAGGTGTTTAGTATAAGACAGTTGTATTGTCAGTGAACCTTGTGAGTTGTAATGAACCCGAATTTTGTAACGTTATCTTTGTTAAATGTTACTCTTGTCCCTGGTTTTATATCAGTAGAGGAAAAGTCTGCTAGCCACTAGGCTAATTTATACAATGTAAAATGCAATAGGCTTGTGCTAATAACGTTAGCATGTTGTATTTGTGGGGAAAATGTGTCCAGATAAAGACAAGTGTTTGTCTGTGGATGCTGTGAGTTATAGTGAAGCTGATTTGTGTACTTGTGTTTGAAATTGTCTCTATTAAGCCATGTTTAATGTGTGTTTAATGTGTGCTTTGGTCATGTGAGTAGGCTCTGCATAGAGCTGATGCACAAGTATAAATCTGTAAATAAAAATGGAATTACGAAACTTAACACTGTAGTCACTACGAGTGGATGCTGTTTGGCAAGACTGCCTATTTGGTATGAAGTGACTGAAAGACATTTTCAGGGAACATTTTACTGATGCGTTCAGTAATAACATTTTTTCTACTTGCCAAATACATTAATTCACAACACTATGTTAATAAAGAACTTAATTTGCTCTGCATTGCGCTTCCCTCTAAACCAATTTGCTGTTTCAAATTAGTTGCATATAAATGCAATTTCCCGGAGAAGGGCTGCTCAGCGTGGACATGTATCACAAGCACAGACAGATTACTGAACAAGCCAACCAAGCGCAGGCCCAGGGGCCCTAAGTGTCAGGGGCCTTCACCCACAAAGTTTCACTCAAATTAACACACACTGACCAAGACGAGGCTCAAAATGACCACAGGAAGACAAAAGAGACCCCAGAGAGATGCAAAGAGAATCATAATAACTACAACAAGGAGCAAAACAACCACAAAGAGACACAACATCATTACAAAGAGACATGAAACAACTTAACAAGACACAATATCACCACAGAGGGACACAAATCCACAAATGATGCATAACGACTACAAAGAGATGCTACGACAAAAGAAGCAATGCCACCACAAAGTCTGTTTCTTGAGCCTATAGGAGAGGTTTTGGGGCCTTTTGAGTATCTGTACCCAAGGACTCATTGTCTCATTACCCACCCATGATCACAAGCAATCCAGCTATACAGTGATGGTTTCATTTGATTTATGTCCAGAGTCCCAGATGGATGAAAGCATCACAAAAAAAATTGTCCTATCTGGACAATGAAGGTCCATGACCAAACATCAATATGTGATGAGGTCGGAGTGAGAATGTGCTGCACAGAGCCACTGGGGAGGAGCTAAGGAGTGGTACGTGGCTCCAGAGCTGCAGGCTGCCGAACCCTCTGGAACCACAGGTCTATATGACTCTTACAGATGAACATTCACAGTAGCAGATACAGTACTGACTAAACTGTTTTGTAATTGACATAAACACTTTACATAAATTGGAGCAGATTTTTCTTAGTGAAAGTTTCTCATGATGATCCTCTACCTCTCCAGTCCAACACAGCCCATCAGAGTCGTAGGGGTTTACCCAGAATGCCCCTCCACAGCATGATAGTGTTGACATGTTTATTCAGCTGTTTGCAAAATGAAACTCCCGGTTTAAATTAGCTTTAATTCCCCCGGGGAGGGTGCAGGACGTAGTTAGAACAGCCACGAGAGCTTCACCAACACAAAGAGCATCTGAACCGCTTCACGACTTAGTTCATGCTTCTCTTTAGAAAACAGAAGGACAATTAATCAATCTACTGTAATGTTAGTCTTAGATGATGGAGATCCACACTGAAATCTCACCACTATGAGCTGTATCAGAATGCGGGATGGTCGTCTCTCACTGATCGAAGGGAAACACATTGTCTCCTTTTTGTTCGTAAGGCACTGCTTGGAAAGCTTCCCTTCTGCCTCTCATTACACGCTTACTGGATTTTTTATCCCTTGAAACCCCTCAGATATAACATTATTAACTCAAGTATATGCCAAATGATAGACCTGGCCGAGGTAGCAGCCAATCAGAACACATTTAAAATGCAACACATACAACATATAATACCACAACTCCACAGTAAAACAACAACTATTCAAACATAGTGGCCTCTCAAGAAAAACAAGCACATGTCTCTGTCACCACATTCTTTATGATGCCCTTAAATTCACTGATGGATATACTTGTTTCTAATTTTAGATCTTTTTGGAGATCGTTCCATGTCCAAGGTGCAGAGTAGGAGCATGCAGTTTTAGAGAAAGCAACCACCTGTAGGGGCATAGCTGGCAACTACCAGAGCTGACACACAGCAGGGTGCAGAGGTCGGCTGGAAGTTTGCACACTATTACTTTATAGATAAAAATATAGCAGTGCTTTTGTCTGCGAGTGGTCAGTGACGTCCAACCCAACAAATCATAAAGAACGCAGTGATGAGTGAGTGACTTTGCGTTTGTAATAAAACGTAGAGATGCACAGTACACTGAATTAATGCTTCGTAAAATGGAGGAGGCTGCATGCATGTGCAATATGTCACCGTGATCAATCACAGACAGAAAAGCAACCACAAAGAGACATAAGATGTCTAAAGAGAGACACAAAATGATTACAGAGACAATAAACAATAAAAAAGTCACAAAATGACCACAAGGAGACACAAAATGTCCAAAAAAAGACAGAAAACAGCAAAAAAGACACAAAACAAGCAAAAAAGACACAAAATGAGCAAATAGGACACAAAACGTCCAAAAAAAGACACAAAACGATCACAAGGATACACAATACGTCCAAAAAAAGACACAAAACATCCAAAAAAGACACAAAACGATCACAAGGATACACAATGCGTCCAAAAAAAAGACACAAAACATCCCAAAAAAGACACAAAACGTCCAAAAAAAAGACACAAAATGAGCAAATAGGACACAAAACGTCCAGAAAAAAAACACAAAACGACCACAAGGATACACAAAACGACCAAAAAAAGACACAAAACATCCCAAAAAAGACACAAAACGTCCAAAAAAGACACAAAATGAGCAAATAGGACATAAAACGTCCAAAAAAGACACAAAATGAGCAAATACGACACAAAACGTCCAAAAAAAAGACACAAAACATCCAAAAATAGACACAAAACGATCACAAGGATACACAAAGCGTCCAAAAAAAGACACAAAACATCCCAAAAAAGACACAAAACGTCCAAAAAAAGACACAAAATGAGCAAATAGGACACAAAACGCCCAAAAAAGACACAAAATGAGCAAATACGACACAAAACGTCCAAAAAGAAGACACAAAACATCCAAAAATAGACACAAAACGATCACAAGGATACACAAAGCGTCCAAAAAAAGACACAAAACATCCCAAAAAAGACACAAAACATCCCAAAAAAGACACAAAACGTCCAAAAAAGACACAAAACATCCCAAAAAAGACACAAAACGTCCAAAAAAGACACAAAACATCCAAAAAAGACACAAAACTTCCAAGAAAAGACACAAAATGAGCAAATAGGACACAAAACGTCCAAAAAAAGACATAAAATGTCCAAAAAAGGACACACACAAGCAAAAAAGACAAAAAACGACCAAAAAAAGACACAAAACGACCACAAGGATACACAAAATGTCCAAAAAGACACAAAACGTCCAAAAAAAGACACAAAATGAGCCAATAGGACACAAAATGTCAAAAACAACACAAAATGTCCAAAAAAGACTCAAAACGAGCAAAAACAACACAAGACAAGCAAACGAGACACAAAACGAGCAATTTAGACACAGAATGACTACAAAGAGACAAAAAACAACTAAAAAAAGACACAAAATGATCACAAGGAGACAAAATGACAACAAAAAGACACAAAATGACGTAAAAGAGACAAAAACAAAATATAAAAAAGATGACAAGGAGACAAAATGAATACAAAGAAGCATAAAACAACCCAAAAAATGACACACAACTCCCACAGACACAAATCAGCCAAATAGAGTAGCCTGCACAAGTTATGTATTTGTTATTCTGTTCTTATTATTTGATTTTCTTAACTGTGTTAATTGCTGTTTATAACTCTCGATAGACACTGCTGCTACTTATTTAATTTTTATGGACTTTTTTTTCCACCACTTTATTACAATTATATGTGTATCCATCTAGCCCACTGACTGTGTGGCTGTAATAGAGCTTAATGCTCAGTTAATTCACCCTGAATAAACAATGGGTAGTGACAGTGTGAGCAGCAGGAGTCACAGCGTGTTGAACTTCACCTCTGTTGCTGTGAGTTACTGAGGACATGGACCATGTGCAGTGCTGTCTTTGTCAGGATCATTTAAACAATGACAATATTCATTTTAAGACCCTGAATGAATGTTAGACAGACACCAGTAGGGAAAATACATGTAATAGAGAGCAATAAAGCAATATAAACTCAAAGAGCAGCAGTGCAAGTTGCAGACTACACACTGCAGGCATGGTTTTGGTCACAATTTATCTCCTGTCTTTGTGCCTTTAGCTCCAGCAGCAGAATAAGCGCTGATTTATCACAGGCTACAGACAGAAGCACATGCAAACACGCGGGCAGGCGCAGCGACCCGTCCCCCCTCCGTAACAGGAGCAGATGACAGGTGGAGGAGCGGATGGTGATGCTGTTGGAAGCTGCTGCGCTCTGTGGGCGAAACCTACCTGTCATCGTAGCAGAAATCTGCGTCCAGCGTGTTCAGATAGAGACCCACAGCCACGGCGGTGCACACCAGCTCCGTGATCATCTCTCAAAACCAAAGTGGGAGAGGAGCCGGGATAGAAATGACTGGAATCAGGTCTCTCTCTGCCCCCCCAACACCTCCCCGCTTCTTCTCTCTCTCTCTGTCAAGTCTCTGTGTTATTGTGTTCTCAATTCAGCCGCTCGGCAGCACGGCTCTCCTCCAGACAACGCAGGGCATTTCCCGTGACATGCAAAGTGTGGCAAAGTTAGCCATATTCCCTGTAACCCATGGTGTTGAGAGACGGGTCAGGGGTGCCGGGAGGTGAAGCTATAGCCGGGCTTGGTTCGGAGCTGTGCGCATTTCTGTGCTGCGGTGTCCTCAGTGTGCGCATCTCTCCGCCTTGGCACTGGAGAGAGCTGAGCGGGGAGACGCATGTGGTTTTCAGGGAGGCCGCGCATGCGCACTGGGCTCTGCACTGGAGCAAAAAGGTGGGGAGTGTTGGAAATAAGTAATTGTGCTTTTATGCGTTGCTGCTGGACCAGCCTAAGAATCAATGGCGTACAGGAAGGCAAGCATTAGGATTTATTTCTGAGGTCAGACGTTTTCAAGGAAACATTTTATGTTGATTTAACAGCAGCAGATCAAAGACGTGCACTGCCTGTGTAACTCTGTAAATAATGTTACCTTTATGGTACCTATTTTCACTGTGGGCCATAAACATAGATATACTGACATGAACAAAGTGCTCACTTTATATTAACCTTGAGTTTTAAGTTTGAGTTGTGTTTATTTATCTAAGAAATGACTTAAACATAAATTGAAAGTATTAAAGCCTAAAAACCCAGCTGAAATACTTTATAACAATATCCACAATGTCAAAAATAAATGCATAACTTATGACAGTCCATATATAAATCCATGGATGGATTACTGAATAGGCCGACCGGGCACAGGCCAAAGGACCCACAGTGTCAGGGGCCCCCTGACCTTCACCTGCAAAATGTCAATCAAATTACTCACCAGGAGGAGATTCGAAATGACCACAAAGAGATGCAAAGTAATTGCAATGAGACACACATTTACTGCAAAAGGGGGCAAAACAATTAAATGACAAAGAGACACAAAACGACCACAAGGAGACACAAAATAAATACAAGGAGACATAAAATGACTAAAAGGAGACATAAAACAACCCAAAAAGACATGGAACAACCACAAGGAGACACACAATAACTACAAAGAGAAACAAAACAACTAAGAAAAGACACAAAATGACTTCAACAGATGCAAAACAACAAAAAAAGGAGACAAAATGACTAAAAAGAGATACAAAACAACCCAAAAAGACATGGAACAACCTGGAGGAGACACAAAATGACTTCAAAGAGACTCAAAACAACCACAAGGACACACAAAATGACTACAAAGAGAAACAAAACAACTAAGAAAAGACACAAAATGACTTCAACAGATGCAAAACAACAAAAAAAGGAGACAAAATGACTAAAAAGAGATACAAAACAACCCAAAAAGACATGGAACAACCTGGAGGAGACACAGAATGACTTCAAAGAGACTCAAAACAACCACAAGGACACACAAAATGACTACAAAGAGACACAAAATAACCTGGAGGAGACACAAACTGAGCACAAATAGACACAAAATGACTTCAAAGAGACACAAAACAACCACAAGGACACACACAATGACTACAAAGAGAAACAAAACAACTAAGAAAAGACACAAAACATCCACAAGGAGACACAAAACAGCCAGATAGACACAAAACAACAAAAAAGGAGACAAAATGACTAAAAAGAGATACAAAACAACCCAAAAAGTCATGGAACAACCTGGAGGAGACACAGAATGACTTCAAAGAGACTCAAAACAACCACAAGGACACACAAAATGACTACAAAGAGACACAAAATAACCTGGAGGAGACACAAACTGAGCACAAATAGACACAAAATGACTTCAAAGAGACACAAAACAACCACAAGGACACACACAATGACTACAAAGAGAAACAAAACAACTAAGAAAAGACACAAAACATCCACAAGGAGACACAAAACAGCCAGATAGACACAAAACAACAAAAAAGGAGACAAAATGACTAAAAAGAGATACAAAACAACCCAAAAAGTCATGGAACAACCTGGAGGAGACACAAACTGAGCACAAGGAGACACAAAATGAATTCAAAGAGACACAAAACAACCTAGAGGAGACACAAAATCACTATAAAGAGATACACAACAACCCGAAATAGACACAAAATGACTATAGACACAAAACAACCTAGAGGAGACACAAACTGACCACAAGGACACACAATGACTACAAAGAGACAAAAAATGACTATACAGACGCACAAAACAAAAATGTTCTGCAGGACTGCAGAGAAGATGAAATCATGACTGAAGTATTTCCATACAGCACTTCTCTGTTAGTAAAGAAGATTGGCTGAGTGTCTGGCTGAGTAATAAACTGCAATATTTCGCACTCTGAATCATAACTTTGAAAAACATTCATATCATAAATTGGAGGAAGTTTCTCAAGACTTGTTCTGTAATTCTGACAGCACATATAACGCTGACGTGCCCTGCTGAACACCTGAGAAGGGCCCATTATCTCATTCTAACCCCAAATTAAAAATATTGATTAATTTGCTACACACCAACCCCCCACTGTCTCTGTGGAGAGGCTAAACTGAGGGGGTCGATGTGATTGATGAACCGTGGTAACTCACCCTATGGTGAGGCTGCATATGGGCGTCAGTTTGGAAATGTGCAGCCTGGTCCCGCTGACTACCAGCTGGACCAATGCCTGTCCCTCAGTGGGGGCTCCAAGCAAAGAAATCCAGCACAGAGCAGCAGCGGAGAGAATAAAACAGATGGTTGGAGAGGGATGTATAGAGCGCAAGGGCATCGGCCGGCGAGGGGTGAGACAGTGACGGAGCAAGAAGTGTCATTTGTAACCGTGGCACCCACTGACCCTGACTCTGGAGAAGACTTGACCTCATGGAACCTGTTGGACTGTTTAGAAAGCTTTAGGCAGGCTGCTGTGTTTTTGTACCTGAGACTTATGTTGAGGTGATTCCTCTTACATCATTCATCAGTGTCCAGAGGTAACAAATGAGAATGTTTCCAGACACTTCATCTGTAAGACAGATGGCAGCCATGTTGTTGGTTTTGTTTAGGGATGTCAACGGTTAACCATTTTAACTATTTGAAATATTTTTGAGCAGTTACACATGTTAATCCATAGGTATATTTTGCTACTCCTTAGTTTTCTGCACTGTGCACTAGCTAGGTCTGGTGGGAGCTACTGCTAGCTAGCGACACTGCCAGATCGCCAATGATAAACTGTAAAGCATCTCTGACACCGCTCAGTTTTTTGGTGATTACCACTTGGAACATTGTCCCGTCCCACTACTGTTGCTGCAGAGACATAGAATGCTCCAGGGATGACGTTTTCCTGTAGGCCAACGCGGACGTTAGCTCCACCCTGGTTACCTCACAAAAAGCCAGTGGGATTTTTCCATTGGAGTTTGGATTATTGCGGAAAATAACAAACAAGAGTTTACAATACCCATTTTGTTCAACAAGATAATCTTCACAAATAAACACCACTTTTATGATTTTTAAAGGGTTAACGTAATCGCCAGACATAAAAAGCTAACATTAGGCTAAACAAATTACACCATGCTTGCATGACTTATACGCCGTTCCTAAAGCACAGTTGTTAAGCCGTATCACTGATACGACGTTCTGTAGTCTCGTTAAGCCACATGTTAGCAACCGCCTTTTTAAGACACAAGTTGGGTATTTAATGACATATCTTATGTAGTAGAAAAAAAAGTGAAAGCTTGTGTTAACCACTACCTTATTTCAGGTATCTAACCAAAAACAACTTATGAAAAAAAACTCAATGACTTCAAGACAAGGGAAACAGGAGCTGTGAATGCAAACTATTTTCCAAGTTTTCGGACCCCATAGGATGCTGTCGTGAATATGTAGCTCCATTTTGAACGGCAAACTCCCTTTATCAATTTTAGCTCTACTAGCATCGTTAGCAGTGTCAGCATTGCAACTGGTGCTAACATGGTTAAAAACATTAACCGGGTTTTGCGGCTCAAACCAATCTCTCATAGAACCAAAAGTGAAAGTCTCTTAAGCTTGTGTTAACTACAGACGTTATTTCAGGTATCTAACCAGGATCCAGGAGCGCAAAAATGTGGACTAATTTCCAGGTTTTAGGACTCATTCCTGGAGCAACCTCATGAATACGCTGCTCAATTTTGAGCCTCAAACTCCCTGTAGCAATTTTAGCTCTTTTAGCACCATTAGCACTGTTAGCATGGCAAGTGGTGCTAACATGGTTAAAATAGTAAAGGTGTTTTGCAGCTCAAAATGAAGCTGCTTACTCACAGAGGCTATGGGAGGAGACCAGAGGGTGGCTGCCGCGTTTTGGCAGGTAAACTCTGAATGAGTAGTCACCATTAGCTCGCTTCCACTCGACCCAGATGGTGCACAGTGCAGAGTGGCCCAGGCTAACGTTAGCTAACCAGTGGGCACTATGTTTCCAGGTGTTTACGCAGCTAACCGGCTGTCTGTCAGCAAAGCTAACAGAAAATGAAATAAAAGGCAAGACATTTACATCACAAAATAATTAAATTTTCACCACCTCTAAATGGATAGCACTTTGAAATGTAACACTAAATCTAACTGCGTCAGTGGAGTGCAGGACTAAAAGGAAAGGCCTCTTGTATTTGAGTGTGTCACCAGTGTGTCACCAGTTAACAGGTGTCAGGCTATCGAAAGCTAATCAGCCAACACTGACATCTGTAGTTTTATGAGATTTGGAGAATTGTACACCAACATCATCACAACACACACCCAGACAAACCCACAAGCAAACACAAAGCCTACAAGACGCACATGGCACCGTTACCCAGCCCCATGGGGACAAGGGGTGCTCTGTCTTGCAGTCGGCACAAGTGATTAAGGGATTAGCTAAGGAAAACAGGGAGAAATGTTCCTGTAGAGTATAAACAGGCCCAGGGCAAAACAAACACATTACAGGAGAAGAAATGTTTACTCCCTCTGACTGATTACCTGCTACGTCCTCACCGCAGAGCAGCGTAATGAATATATTGCTTGCTCTTTAGGTGTAAACAGGCAACAAGTCCACATTAAACATCCTTTTTTTGGTTTTAGATAAAGTCTAGAGGGGGTAGCTGAGGACTCTGGTATTTATACTCATTGATGGATGTATTTTTCTTCTTTCTCTTCCTGTTTTTAATCTGTTATAGGAAGTGACAAGCATTTAGTGCTGATAATTAAAAGCATGTGGGTGTTTCTTTCCTCTTTAAACCACATTTTGTGCTGCTCAGGCAAATGTTTGCATATTTTACTTGCCATGTGACTAAACCAGTATTTGTTGAGGCCCTCAGCCCGGGCCTGCATGCTTTAAATGAGTAGTAGTTGCACACGTTCCCCATCAT